GCCAGCCAGGAGAGTGCAAACAGCTGCACCAGGGTCTGGAGGCCTGGCAGTGGTGCCTAAGTGCACACCTTGTGATGGATGGCTGGGGTTGTACTGCCCCAAGCCCCTTCCCAGCCATGCGTGTCAAGACATGCATGCAGCTGCTACCACCACAGTCTGGCACAGCTGCTTGCAGCCTCTTGGCTACCTGCCAGAGAGCCCAGGCTGCTGGCAGCAGGGCCTGCAGCCTCCTGGCCACCTGCTGTGAGCAGGCAGGGCTCCAAGTCTGGGCTGGCTGTGGCATGCTGAGCAAAATGGCCTTGTGTGTCATGCTCTGGCATGTGTGCCAGGGGTTGCCGACCCATGCTTTAAGCTGATTCCATGCCTTGTCACCATTTGGGTTGGAGGGTGGGTGTTGTGGTATTCCTGGTACACTGAGACTATCAAAAATAAAACCAAAAATAATTTAATGCTGTTTGTATTGTCCATTTTCAGTAATTTGATAGCACAGTATTACTCCTGTTAAAATACACACTCTAAATAGTATAGACAGAAATATAACTGTACATCTTTTTAGATGAATGTCCATCAAGTCCTACCTCAGGCAGAGTGGGAGGAGAAGTAAAGTTGTCCATCTCGTATAGAAACGGCACTCTGTTTATCATGGTGATGCACATTAAAGACCTGGTGAGTAAAGTAAAAGTCCGGGAAACTAATGTTTGTGTGACCACTTATGAAAAGTTGGTTTAAATGTGTTAGGACACTCCTTTGCAAGTATTTTTCCCAAGACTAATCTGTTTTTAGTTAACTCTCCAATGAGTTCATAATTAATCTGAGTTGAGCATGATTTTTAGCATGTATTGCTTTAGAAGGTAAAACAATTAAATAGATGTGTATTTAAAAAAATAAAAAACCTCACTCACTGGTATGCTTTATTTGCAGGTCACAGAAGATGGTGCAGATCCGAATCCCTATGTTAAAACGTACTTGCTTCCAGATGCACACAAAACATCTAAACGCAAAACCAAAATCTCACGGAAAACAAGGAACCCAACGTTCAATGAAATGGTAAAATAATCTGTCCCCCCAGTAAAGATCCCTTAACATTCTTTTGTGGTCATCAGTGTGTATTTACAACTTTATTTTAAAACCTAGGATTCCAGTCTCAAATACATATCTGTAAATGTGTATAAGAGAAGGGACTAGCCTCTGAAAGCTTTTTATCTTAAAAATATGCACACACCTGTTTTTCTGAATTAAATCCCACCCCTTTCCATTTAAACATACAATCCAAAAAAATCTTAATAGCATGATCACATTAAAGCAGTCATTTTAAGTGAAGTCGCACAGGCTTCTCTAGGCCAAGGTCAAGTCTCTGGAAACAGGGGGAGGGGAAGGAAGGAAAAACCTTGAATTTTAAATGTTGCTTGGCACATTAAACTGAAATCCACAAATTGCCTGGGCTGTAATCTACATCACTTCATTCATTGTAGAGGCTCAGAACTTCTGGGGGCAACAGTCAGGTTTAAAAGCTTTTGCACTGATTATAGATGGCATCCTCCACCCAAGCTATTGAAGGCACCTAAGTTTATACAACACCACTGCAGCAGACACTCAAGGGTAAGGTGAGGCTCAGTCTCGCCAGAGGTGCACTGCCAACTGTGGAAGCCAAATTAATGTCCCACCTATCAGTCCCCTGGCCCCTGCCAGCAGTTGACTTCTAGAGAATCAGCAAACTCTTAGTTTTCAGCTGCTGCTGTTTTTGTTTTTTGTGCAGCTCGTGTACAATGGATACAGCATAGAGACACTAAGGCAGAGGGTGCTTCAGCTAAGTGTGCTTAGCGCAGAATCGCTGCGTGAGAATTTCTTTCTGGGCGGAATTACTCTGTCCTTGAAGGATTTCAACTTGAGCAAGGAGACTGTTAAATGGTATCGACTGACTGCCGTGCCGTATCTGTGAACTCAAATTTCTGCACCTGCATAAGAACAGAATTGAAACAATTGTACTCATCTGTATTTTGTGCATTTTTCCTACTTGAAAATAACTTGCACATTTTAAATAAGAGACTACATTTCAACAAGTATGTTGGACCAACCTTCACAAAGCTTCAGTTACAGGATTTCTAGATTGCATTGCTGTTTTCTGGTTAAGTGACAATATCAGCATTAATGTAAAATGAATTTCTTAATATTTGCGGGTAAACAAAGGTTTTAAACCATTCACAGAATAGTCAGATTAATACCTTGACTTTGCTGTATCAATTCAACCACATTTAATCACTTGACCTGTGGATATAGTAGGGTTTTTCTTTTCACTTATTTTTGTTACCTGTATTGCTTCATACCTGAGATGATGCCATGGAACACTGAAGAAGGATGGGTTGTTTTAGGACCACATGCCCACTATTCAGCAGTCATTGCAGCAGCAGAAACCAGTACAATGTCAGAGGTTGCACAGACGGTCAGAAATGAAGCTTGGATGGAATAGCTGGAACTATTCTTCAGCCTTGCATTTAATCCCAAGAGTCATGCTTTTCTAAGAGGACATCAGCATGAGTGCCAATAACGGAAGTTGTAAATAATGGTGCCTTATCTTATCATTCAAATCCTTCTTTTGTACCTCATTTCTGATATTTAAAAACTTATGCCTATTAACTAAGAGTAATTAACTCTTCCCAGTGAAAAGGGCAAATAGTCTCATATGATAAATTGCAGCTCCTACTGAATTTTTCCTTCAGAAAATTCAGTCTCCAGATATTTTTAAGTTACGCCAACCATAATTAAGATGGCCCATCTATATAAGTGAAATCTTTGTGTCCTAATGGTTAATGATTTGTGAACACTAGATAAAGACTTTGAATGCAGTGCAATGTCAAATAAGCATGAGGCTTTCCAACATTTTAAAACAAGTTTTAAATTCCCAGGATCTAGGTAGTGCAATAAGTGAGTGCCAGACCTGGGTTTCAGATTCTGGGTCCAAAATGAGAGTTGTGCACATCTTGTTTATTGCCCTGCAACTCCATATAATTGATAGTCTCTCCTTGAGAGACATGGCTGAAATAGCAGATAAGTTTCAAATCAAGAATGCGTTACATTAGCAGAGTGTTATGGAGGAGCTTGTGGTAAATGTGATTCTTACTATTATTGTTTTGTTCCTTACTTTCCAAAGAGCATGATAAATGTTATTTCTCTACATGATTATAACAACATTTCAGGGTGAGAATTGAATACAAATGCCCATTTGCTGTCTGCCATAAAAATAATTGGTCACTTGGGTGTGATTTGTACTGCACATACGTATGTTTCTTATTAAACTCTCACTTTTTTTAGGGTGACCATAATCCTGTCTCTTGACAGAGTTGTATGAAAAGAGTTTAAATGGCACGCTACGTTTTTAGCACTAAAGCAGAAACACTTTCTTAAGAAGTGACAATAATAGACTATCAGCACTGAGTGTCACTAGCGAAGATCATTAAAGTTTGTAATGGTGACAGAGTGCAGAAACGGACAATCTTTTAGTTCCCAAGTATTAAAATGCTCATTAGTAATGCCCCCCCAATCCAGAGTGACTGATTTTTCCCTCTGCCCCACCAAAGAAAAAGAACAGATGAAAAATATACTTCAATCTCTTGGTGTCTAAAATATTCACAGTCCAGTTTCATAAAAATGATTTACAGTAAAAAGCCAGTGACACTTCTGATTGTTAAAATTGGGTTATTTAATGGGAGCTTAGCTAACACTATCCAAAATCTGAATTTGATTTGCTATAGTTGACAATTTTTTATTTACTATATAGCATGTAAATAGTACTAAATGTATGTTATAACTAACTAGATTGTATTTCCTGCTCACTTGATGTTTT